TGTCCAGTTGGGAGGTAAAACTCCCACCATGTTAAAAGGCCTTACAAGGCCTTTGGTGCAGAAAAGGCCTTAGTAATCAGATGATTCAGACTTATTGGCTGTAATAGTCAGATTCATATTGATAGGTGGTTGTGACTCTTAATGGAATATGAGTGTTCGAATTCTTAATTTTGAGTTCATCCAAGTGATCAAGCTTTAGATTTTTCAGTACTTATGAAAAAGTTTTCTTCACTAAAACATTATTTTGGTTAGTATAAGTAAATTGTTCTGTATTCAGGTAATTTCTCTATGCTTCAAGGAGGGATCTTCTGGAAAAGGACTCAAGGGCATGAAAGAGGTAAATAGCTATACCACTAAGTGAAGCATATTGATAGTCTATAAATGTTCCCCTGCTTAAGGTAGTTTTGTCTCCATTAGGTTGCAAAAGGATATATAAAAGGTGAGAGAGTCGGGTTTGCACAACTCTCTCCAGGTGTTGATCTTTACCTTTGTCCTCGGAGCGATGCAATTATCACTATTCTTGCAAAATATGGTTTCTTTAAGGGAATGGCAGCAGTGGAAGGAAACTCTGAGTTGATGATTGGTTGTGTTGTATGGCGGAAGAATCGAACAGCTTTGACTTCTGTTGCTAAAAAATCGGAGGGAAAGGCTAATTCCTCGCAGGAGCAGCTTCAAAAGTCACCATCTGATTCTTCTACATTGCAAGGTGGAGGACAAGGTTCTTTACCTGTACCATCAGTTGAGAACTCAAAACCATCTGCCCCAGTCAGCTCTTTCTCAACGCTTGAACAAGCAAACATTACTGATGACAAGAACGTTGGTATTGATTCCTCAAGCAGGACAACCTTAACAACTTCCGGTGTGATGTCACCCACTTTTCAGCAAAAAGAATCTGAACTTTCCAGCTCGCATCTTTGGGGATCTAAGGGGCACTTCTTGGAACCACCCAAGGAAAGTTCGGACCTCCCAAAAGCTCTAACATCACTGCTGCCCGATGCATCAAAACCAAAAGTGGCGTTTTCAGAAGATGACGATCTCCCTGAATTTGACTTTGGAACTGCTAGTGGAATATCTTCAAGTTCCCACCGTTCTGATGGATCCATTCTTGACAATCGACTTCAACTTTCTGGAAGTAGGATTCTAGATATGTCTAAACAGCCAACCATACCTATAGCACCCTCAGTTTCCACGAGTATTCCTAGGTCAATATCATCTGTCAGTCAAAGTATGCCCCTAGCTAAAAATGTCGCTGACCACGGACACCCAAAGTCCATTGGTGGTCCAGTGGGAGTTACAGCTTACGCCTCTGGTTTACCACTGATTCCGCTTGATAACTCTGGCAAGAAGAGTTTATTTTGTGATGATGATATGCCTGAATGGTTGCCACCAGATGCTCAGGATGAAAGAAGAAATGAACCAGGAAACTTTCCCCCTGAATCTTCAACCTCAACCTCAAGAAAGTTGCCACCTTTGCCCATCGGATCAGTGTACCCTTATCCATCTTCCGCCATAATGCATAGTGGTTTTCCTTCCCGACCATCTCTTCCACTATACCATCTGCCTGCCAATTCCAAAGTGCCACCCCCCATACCCTCTCAAACTGGTCCTAGTTATTTGACAGGATTCACCTTTAATCCAGCTCCAAGGCCACAGTCTAGTTCACTTCCTACTGACAGTTCTTTGCAGCATGCCGATAAAAGAGTAAGGAGGTCTTGATAATAGCATGTAACTCAGTCAACAGTAAAAGATTTATTTGAATATTAATCAGCGACATTTCAAAGCTGTACATATGCATGAATAGCAGGTTCATGGATAGGAGTAAATTGTGACTGGATATATAGTTGGTTTTTCTTTCCTTTTTCCTCCCTTTGTCTCAAGTAGTGTTGCTACAGTAACAGTCAAACAGAGGACAATTGTTGTTAACAGGCTTTTCTGCATCTTATACTTGGTTCATTTAGCTGGCCTTAATTAGCTGTGTTATTGGATCTCTTTTACCTTCTTGTTTTCCTGCCAGTTTGCCCCTGTATATAGTTTATATTGAAATCCATGTGTCATAGATTGATGGTGTGTTTAATAGTGTCTGACTGTGTAACACTCTTTAAACAAGTAGTGATTTCTTTCTGGCCTGTAACTCCTATATAGGCAGTGATTCTCTTTCAATATGACTAGTGATTATTTGATTCAATTCACAAGATTTTGGACAAAAATATCTTTCCTGTCTACAGAGCCAAGTGATGATATCTCGATTTGCTTGTGCACATCTAGATGTGTTTAGTAATACTCTCCTAGTTTTAGTTCTTGAAGTTGGAAAACATCTCAAGTATCGTGTAGCTCAGTTGGTTTCACTTTAGGCTTTGAGCCCAGGGTCTATCGGAAAAAGTCTCTCTACCTGTACAAGGTAAAGGTAAGGTTGCGTACTCATTACCCTTCTCAGACCCCACTTGTGGGATTACACTTGGTGTATCGTTATTGTTGTAGCTTGTAATCCCTTTTCATATTTCTCTTTCCTCCGCCCTTGGTATAATTAAAAAGAACTTTAAGAAGTGCCATTTTTAAAATTTTGTGGTTAACCTAAATTCTCATCCTGATTTTCAAGTGTAAAGACCTCACTTGCGTTTCTTCCACATAGTTTTTCTCGTGTTTTGTCAATATAGAAGCGTCGTGCACCGTGATAACTTTTTGTGCATTGAAAAGGTTAGGCAAACTCAAAATGGAGTCTCTACGAAATCACAAGCAGGTCAAATTGGTTTTAAATTCCGGCTAGCACTTGAGATATGCTGAAATAGAGCAACGTGGGCAGTAAGAATTCTTGTAGCCAATCATATACTATGAATTGAAGCTTAGTTGTTCTTGCTATTGCATTGTGCTTGAAATCTAGGGACAGGTGAAAATTTTGGTTTGGACCAAGAGAAAGAATGCAAAAAGGAGATTTCGAAAAAATAAAAAATTAAAAAAATTAAAAAAAAATTCCAACTTTTATTCTGAAATGGAATGATATTTGTGGGCCTAAAAGGAAATTAGTTGTCTTTTAGTTTTTCTTTGCTCGTTTACTCAACAAACTTCTTGAGCCGAGGGTCTATTGAAAAACATGTCTATCTTTTCAAGGTAAGAGTAAGGTCTGTATACACTATTCTTTCCAGATCTCACTTGTGGAATTACGGGGGAAGTGCACGGTTAGCCACTAATAACACATGTATTTACTTTTAAGCCACCGTTTAAAATGTCTTTAGTCTTTAGCCACTGCTTTAATAAAACTTAACTGTCCGGACGAAAATACCCTTCTGCTCATGTCCTTAACTTCAGGACTTCAGGACTACATGTCCTTAACTTTTGAACTTGGAACTCTAAGTTTAGGACTTCAAGGCTACATGTCCTTAACTTTTGAACTTGGAACTCAAACTTCAAGACCAAACGTCCTTAACTTTTGAACTTGTAAGTCAAAGTTAAGGACCTATTGTCCTTAAATTTTGAACTTGTAACTGTAAGTTAAAGACTGCTTGTCCTTAACTTTTGAACGTGTAACTGTAAGTTAAGGACTGTCTGTCCTTAACTTTTGAACTTGGAAATCAAAGTTAAGGACCTATTGTCCTTAACTTTTGAACTTGTAACTATAAGTTAAGGACTGCCTGTCCTTGACTTTTGAACTTGTAACTATAAGTTAAGGACTGCATGTCCTTAACTTTAGAACTTGTAACTGTAAGTTAAAGACTGCCTGTCCTTAACTTTTGAACTTGTGTCCTTAACTATTGAACTTAACTTTAGGACTTCAGGACTACATTTCCTTAACTTTTGAACTTGAAACTCTAAGTTCAGGACCATGTCCTTAACTTTTGAATTTAACTTTAGGACTTCAGGACTACATGTCCTTAACACAATTATCAAAATTCAATTCCATAAAATGGTAAAGGGTCCCATCAACTAAATGGAAACAGTATAGTCAAAACCACGACATATAACAGATAATAACTATCAGATCAATTAAAACCCAAAGCCTAAAAGACAACAAGAACCTAACCAACCAAAAGAAAAAGAAAAAGAAATAAAGTTGGAGAAGTGGTCTGCAACGAGGAAGTGGTTTGCCTTTGGGTTTAGGAAGTGGGATGAAGTTGGGGAAGAACTTACTGCATAGGGAAGAGAAGTAACGAGTTTGGGAAATTTTGATCAGGAGAAAGGGTTTTGAAATTTTGATAGAGGGTTTGGGATGGAAAAGAGATAGAAGAAAGGGTAACTTCGTCTTTTCATATTAATTTTAATAGAGTAGTGGCTATTTTTGCTCAGCATTAAAAATGCTAGATAAAAAATAAATACCACTTTAAAAAGTGGCTACCACACGCCATTTCTACTGGAATTACACTGGACTTATGGTTGTTGTTCACTCAACAGACAAATCCAGCAAGAGAAGGAAAATGTAAGAGTTTTCCATCGTTCCTTCTTTTCCTCCCTCTGATTCTAAGCAAAGCACAAAGTCCCTTTAATCATGTGGTACAACACATTGAAACTCTAACAATGCCTCGTCTTAATAGAGTTGGCAAAGGACTCACCTGAACTTATGTTTTTGCAATGCATGAATATTCATTTTGTGATTGACTCCAACACACAACTAAGTGCGTGAAATTACTAATCTAAACAAATAAAAAGCACTCTGAAAGAATAGGAGTAAATCATTTACAACATCAAACAAGTGAATCAAACCAACAAGCAGCAGATCCGTTTATGCCAATTCTGCGCCAAAGAGGTCAGCTATGACATGTTAACTCATGTCAACTGATCTCTCCGTTTCCTTTTTGCTTCTTTTTCCTTTTTTTTTTTTTTTTTAGGGGGGGGGGGGGGGGGGGAGGTGGGGAGGGTTCTCTACTTATTTTCTTACGGCGACCACTAAAATANCCATATTGTGGTGGGTTTTTTTTTTTTTTTTTTTTTGGGGGGGGGGGGGGGGGGGGGAGTGGGGGGGAGTTCCTCTAACTTATTTTCCTAGGCAACCATAAAAATCTACAAGGTGATGAACTTATAAAAGAGAACTAAAAAAGAAACATTTACAGATTTCAGACGAATCAATTGGTGGCCAAACTGTCTGAATCAATGTCATCAACAGTGAGCCAGTCATTCGATTCCTCGCCTTCGGAATCTTTATCCCGGTGAATTGATTGGCCAGCCTTCTGCTGACTACCCTGAGCTTTAGAATTCTCATTTAGTTGAATCCACTCATGGGATTCGCTAGATGAGGAAACTTTCTTTCTATGTGTAGGCTTGCTTCCTTGCAGTCTATCTGATAGATCGGTATCATCATCCTCAAGATCACTGAAAGAAACGTCGTCCTCATCCTTGTCAGCAAATGAAGTTGTAGTCTTGGTCTTTTCATCTTCTAACTGCTGCTGAGGTTTCTCACTGAAAGAAACGCCATCTTCATCCTTGTCAGCAAATGAAGTTGTAGTCTTGGTCTTTTCATCTTCTAACTGCTGCTGAGGTTTCTCACCGTGCAAACTGTCTTTATCTTGAGAAGCATTTGCAGTGTCCGCTGAAATATTTTTCTCCTCCAATTTACTTTCAGAACCTTGCTGCTGTCCACTGACCTTGACATCCTTCTCAGACGCATCAACAGTCTCCGACTCCTTAGATGCCTCCGGCTGTGGGTTTTTCTTACTTTGCAACTGCTGCAGAAGCGTCTCCCTTACTTCAACAATCTACAGTAAAAGTCAAATTAACTTGAAAAAGCTTGATCATATCATCATAAATTTTCATTCAGAAAAAGGTTGAGAAAAGAGAGAACCACATGCACGAATGAGAAAAGAAAGAAAGAAAAAGGGGCATGAGCAAAAGAACTGACTACATAAACAGAAATGACCAAAAGAACTGGCTATATAAAAAGACATGACCAAAAGAAGTAGACTACATTCCCCCATAGAACAACACACCTGAACAGCACCCCAACAGCCCACCCCAAACAGTCCCCTGAAAACCAGTGATTACATCATCTCTCATCCTAAGTCCATTTTGAGATTACATGTGCTATATGTTGGATCAAACCAAAAAAAAATAAAAAGATTCAGAAGTAAACCACAACAACCACCTGAAAAGGCAATAACTTTGGCATTTCAGGGAAGAAAAGCTGTTGGGTTAAGAAAGTCGATAAATATACAGCCATACAGGGTTACTGAACTCTCTTTTCAGAGGTAGTAGAATATGTCATTCTTCCCTCCATTTTAAATGCCAAGTCGAGACTCGGATTTTTTCTTTAGTAGGCTACACTTAGTACATTTTCCTCGGCATGAATTGTACAGACACACTGCAAAATGCTGCATCTTACCAATTCCAAGAACTATCTACATCTTCCATGGCATTGGGTACTTTGGTTTTCTCCAAATTCTCTAGGGTATGAGAATGATAGTAGAAATCAAATACTTTTAAATAAGGTTGATACTAGAGGACCAACTTCACGTTCTCATTTATCTTTTACTCTTTTCGTTCATTCTTCTTTCCTAATTCAATGAAGCAGTACTGACAATCATCCAGCTTAATGATTCCGAAGAAAACGTGAGGAAAAAGTATACGACAATCCTATTTTTTCATCTGCCACATCTCTTCTGCCGAATCAAAAGAATGGGCCTCACTGATAATGCAAGAAACATCAGTAGATAAACTCTTAAGGACACTATTGCTATGCTAGTCAATGAGCTTGCGAGGAAACAACTAGATATTTCGATCTAAGTCTCTGCTTGGCTATCCAAACGCAACACTAAAAAAACTGCTCTGTTTCTAATAGTCATTTCTGAGGTTTAACGTTATTTTAGCTGTGGACCATTATTCTCTTAGATTTAATTTAGCTGGGACCAAAATGATCCAATTTTGTAAACTTTAAGGGCTATTAATATGCAGGATGATGTATTAGGGACCAAGATAAACCTAACCCTATACTTAAGGGATTATTTTGGTATTTTTTAGTTCTTTCTTCACTTTCTGTCTTAGTTTCTCACTTATTTGACTTACAGGCAATGACCGATAAAGTTTTATGCTTCCCTCCCTCCTTCCTTTTAAAAAAACGATTTTATTGATGAGAGAGAGGACAGGTACACTGATACAGAAGACCAGAAGCAAGAAGTCATCATAAAGAGGGAGTTAGCGAAGATGAGGTACAAAATTCTAGAAGTTAAGCAAACATGGGTGCCCAGTTTAAAACTGTTGTGGTGAAGATACCATTGCCCTTCTTCACACACAGAGGATGTGAAAACCCCTTTAACTCAGACCAAGTATTCTGGTAGATATTTAGTCCAAGCATTTTTCTCAATTCTGTTCTAATAACTGCACCAATGAGAAACTCTTCTAATTAACTTCAACAAAAATTCCTTTTGGCATGATATCTTCGTATAGTTAAACAAAAATTTGATACTTGACATGTGACTAGTTTTAGACAAAAATCATCGCGAATTTGACTTTAGCCTTTCTTCTTGCTTTAACATTCCTACTAGTATTATCTATTTGGAGAGTCAATATAGATAAATCACTACATTAACTTTTACGAGATAACTACATACATGTAAAAGGAAAATAAAGAGTCAAAATCATCCCTATAAGTTTAGAACAATTTATTAAAGAATAAGGGTTGAGGAAATGAGAAAAATCCAAAACAATAAAACATCAAATTACTAGCTTGCAGTAACATAATCAAGTATAGAGCAAACAGCATGTGTTTCTTATAAGTTCAATGGAAAGGAAAGAACTAGATATTGGTGAAGTAAGCTGTAGCGCTTTCACATGGAGCTGGATTATTCATGAACTCCTCAGATTACCTCGTTTTTGGACTAGCTCGAGTTAGTCAGCATCCAGCTCTAGCTAAGCTGATTGCTCAACGTGCCTGGTTAGTAGGCTCACAAGCCGATCAGTATGTTTCCATATTACATCTTCCATAAGCTCACACGTTTGTTGCATGAGTTTACAGTGAACTTATTCATACACAACACCCTACCCCTATCTGCAACCACCCTCCTCCTTTACAAAATTATTACACAATCTATAGAGGAAATGGAAGTAGAGATCTAACCAAATGCTCTTATAGGTCAGAAAGTAGACCCAGACCAGCAACCCACGAGTACAACCATGTCATTTGTCATAATATGAGGAGCTCCTGCTGGTGCTTCTGGCTTCAAGAATTTGGGGATATGCAGGAGGATCGTGAATGAGTCTAGAAAGATTCAAACTGACTTCTCAGCAATCTATTCCTTGTGGCATTTAGGAGTTTTTGGGATAATGAGGCTAGTATGCAGATAAATCAAGAATACTGACCAGGTTTTCTTAATTCTATGTTGGCAGCAGTACAGGGCACTGGCAGCACCTCTTTGGTGCCTTTCAATATTTTTCACTTAACTAGCTTAACTAAAGCTTATGGAATCTGAAACACTCAGGCTAAATTTGAGCCAGAAATCTTCTAAGAAGCACCCTGATGAATTTCAGCTTGATTCAACTTGTAAACATAGTCATAAAAAGACAAAGTATATCCCATGGGCTGACTATATAGGGAAATCAAGAAACGTAATACCCGGATTTCTCAGTGCAACCAATTCCACGAAATTAATGGATGTCCCTAAGGGAAAAGAAATTCCATGAAATTATGTGATCCCCAAGGTTCTAGCAGATTCGGGTAACGAAAAAAGAGGATGATCTGAAGTTGTCATCTCTCTCCCAACTTCATCCGCCACCAACTTCTTCT